TGTACTGTCTGTTATGTCTGTCTGTGTGTCAATGTGTGTATCTAAGTGTACTGTCTCTTGGTGTGTCTGTGTCATTGTAAGAGTCTATATGTGTGTCTATATGTGTGTCTATATGTGTGTCTATATGTGTGTCTATATGTGTGTCTATATGTGTGTCTATATGTGTGTCTATATGTGTGTGTATGCGTGGCAATTAAAATCTTTTACAGAGAGACACTCCCACAAGTGCTCATCCAATTCTTATAAATAATTAAATTCATAAATAAACTCATCCCATTCTTGTTGTCTAGACCACACGAGGCCATGTCTGGTTGACTGGGTTTCCTGGTTGACTGGGTTTCCTGGTTGACTGGGTTTCCTGGTTGACTGGGTTTCCTGGTTGACTGGGTTTCCTGGTTGACTGGGTTTCCTGGTTGGCTGCTTCACACGTGGTCTAATCAATTCCAGAACATAAACTATGTCTTGGCCATCTTGATAATTTTAAAGTTCAGCTTTGACCCCATAGTTGCTCCGCTCCTGTGATAACAAAAAAAAAAACACGCAGAATGTCCATCTCTGTCCCTTGTGGGAACATTGACACAGACTTCAATCTCAGCATATCCGCTAGCATACACACGCATTAAAAAGCACCATCAAAAGTGCCAACACAAACAATCCGCCACTAGAAATGTGGTTCACCCTCGACGGAAACAAGTACACAAATATTAGTGGTTTCACACAGCGATTTATTTTAATCACATAAATATTAAATGTTGAATTGAGAATCGACATCACATCGCTCGGGACACTTCGATAAGCGCTCTATCCCCAGCTTCAGCAGCAAGCGAAGAGTTCCAATTCCGATGGCACCAGTAACTGTCTGAGTGTATATCCGTTTCACCTTTTCCTTAAGTGTTGAACGTGGGTCTGATTCCCTGATAGTTCATAGCAGCGCCATTCTCCTCAAACCGTAATGATCTATTTGTGCCTCCGCACTGTTCACTCGCTCCCAAAGGGCCATTACACCGTCCAGCTTGCCATGCATCAATTCACCACCAAGAGATGCAGAACCAGCCAGCCTATCTGGCTGCTGTGTCACTTTTAGTGTTATCACATAAGGCTAAGAAAAGGCCACTTACAATTTTCTGAATCTACAATTTACAACACCGCTTTGGTCACAGTGGAAAAACAGTTCAAACGATATCCGAAGCTCACGGTGTCGCGCCAAACACTAACCTTAGTAGCTAGACAAAAGAACTATATCCTGTCAGTCGACAAATAGAGGCAACCGTCTATCAGAAGCAAACAATTCCTGCAACAAAAACCAGTGACCTTGCCTGCCCTCTATTTTGACGGAAATCCTGGCTGCTATTATTCGTAAGCTTTCACATTTTTACACTCAAGCGTGACCTCGTATGAGCTTGCCTGTTTATAGATCCACTTATCACCCTGTCACTGTCTGACCAGTGCCCCCCCCCCCACCCCCCCCCATTCCTGTTAAATCAACCCTCTACAGGCTGTCTCTCCTAAAGACTCCTCCATGATTGAAAAGGTCACTATTGATTCTATATAATGATGCGACAAATGGACACCAACAATCCCCTGGAGTTGCAGAAAAGCCCAAGAATAGCGTTCATAGATTTTACCAGGTACATCTATTCGTAGCGTCTGTTTTCATCAATATGTTTTAGAGCTTCTCTCATTGTAACGCATGTTTCAATTCTAGCCGAAGCTGGTTTCAGAAGCCATGTTTCAGGTTTGTTTAACCACAATTCCATTTGTAACAGTAGTCTTGTAGCATTGACGTCATTTCGGCATATTCAACTACGGCACATAGAAAACATGGATCGGGAAAACAAGCACGTCCAAAAATAAAGTTTAAGATAAATATTGAAGAGAGAAGCGATGCGCGCTAGACTGGATTCTATTTATGATATTAAAATAGGACAGAACAGCCTACATTCTCAACTCCTAATACTATTTTCCTAACCCTAAATACTGTAACCCTAACTTCCGGTACAAATTCCCAACTTTCAGTATTATATTCCTAACTTCAGATACTGTATTCCCAACTTCCAATACTATATTCCTAACCCGAAACACCATACCCAAACTTCCAATACTGTATTCCTAATCCTAAATACTGTACACCCCCCCCCCCCCCCACCGCCCCCAAATTTCAGTACTATATTCCTAACCCTAAATGCCGTACCCAAACTTCCAATACTGTATTCCTAATCCTCAATACTGTAGCCCCAAATTTCAGTACTATATTCCTAACACCAAATACTGTACCCCAACTTCTAACACAAATTCCCAACTTCCAGTACTATATTCCTAACTTCGAATACTGTATTCCCAACTTCCAATACTATATTCCTAACCCGAAATACCGTACCCAAACTTCCAATATTGTATTCTTAATCCCAAATACTGTACCTCCCAACTTTCAATACTATATTCCTAACCCCAAATACTGTACCCCAACTTCCAACTGAAACTCCTAACTTTCAATACTGTATTCCCAACTTCAAATGTATTATTTACTTCGAAAACTATATTCCTATCCCCAAATACTGTACCCCCAACTTCCAATACAAATTCACAACATCCAATACTATATTGCCAACTTCAAATACTGTATTCCCAACTTCCAATACTATATTCCTAACCCCAAATACTCTGCCACCAACTTCTAGTACTGTATTCCCAACTTCCAATAATGTATTCCCAACTCCCAATAATGTATTCTCAACCTCCAATACTATATTCTTAATCCTAAATACTATACTCCTCAACTTTCAATACAAATTTCAAACTTCCAATTCTGTATTCCCAACTTGCAATATTATATTCTTAGCGTAAAATAATGTATTCCCAACTATCCATACTGTTTTCCCAAAATGAAAATATATACCCAACTTCTAATAATGTGTTCCCAACTTCCACTGCTATATTCCCCACTACTATTACTGTATTCCTAACTCCTCACACTGTATTCCAGCCCCTAGTATTGTATTTACCAACTCCCAATTCTGTATTTCCAACTTCCCAACCTGTATTCCCAGCTCCCCAGATTTCATTCCCAACACCTAAAACTGTATTCCCTTTCCCAACACTGTATTCTCCACTCCCTATACTGTATTCCAAACCCCACAGTCTGTATTCCTTTATCTAATTTAAAAGGACATTACTTTATGCACATTGCGAATTTATGTTTGTTAAGATCCTTGTTCGATAACTCAAACATCTCTCTCTCTGGAACATGACATCTCTAATCCCAATACGCTGGCTTTCAAACTGTCCTGTCAGAAACCCACATCGTGTGAATAAAAAACGGGCGGGAATTCATAGGCCGCGTAAGACAGTTCGTCTGCCGAATGGCTCCTTCATTCACTCTTCTCTTTATCCCTCTATATATAGGTCAATATAATGAGATGTATCCGACTTTTTTCATCTGTAGACAAGTATTCCTAGAACACAGTTTGTGAATCCGTTATTTTTTTTTATTTATTTTGGTGCCTGGTCTTTCCTAAACCTTGTTTAAGTGCTAATAATAATAATAGTAGTAATTACCTGAGCTCCCAGGTTTTGAGCTCTTGTCGTGACCCCCCCCCCCCTCCCTCCATCATCATCACGTTGTGACAGTGCTCAATACCCACCCCACGTGATATTTGTTGACAACAGGGACACTGAAAAACATCAGTTCCACAAAATCATGAATAAACGAATCAGGATAACAAACGAGTTGTCATGAGATTCTTCTTCGTGTTCACCAGCTGTAAACTCTGGCGGAAAGTTCTGGTTGTTCATCCACTTTCAGACTGCAGTCCTGTTGCAGAACCTGAGTGTTGTGTGTGCATCCGTTTTACAGATCTGACTCATTTGTATGCAGACTGCTGGTTCCTTACCTCTCAGGCAGAAGCACTCTGACTTCGAAGGAAGATCACAATTAGTAGACTCTTACAACATGCTCTTGGGTAGGCAGTGGGTCTATTCTTGTTTTCCCTACAATAGGGCCCTGGAACGCCCATGCCAAAATATTTTTTTTTTTAAATGTGTCCTGTTTCTTTATTGAAACTTTTATTTCATTTTCACCCCAAAAGTCAAGATTCGTCCTCCCCCCGACGCAGACGGAGAGTCATCAGACGAAATAAAAATAAATGATCACGGGCCAGTTCCAAGTGCTGAAATTAAGGATTGAACGTCCACTTGTGCAAAAATGCAGGTTTTCATAGAGAAATGGCAGCCAAACATCGCTATAGTTAATCAGCGTATCAATTCATTTGAGGACGGTGTGTTTGGTAACTTTAGTAACATTTGAAACAACAGAACAAAGAACAACGGATCATTTATGTTTTTAAAGGAGAGAGTGAGAGAGAATTTGGAGATAAAGAGAAATAAAAAGACAGAAATAAAGACAAATATGGACAAAGAAAAAGATAACGACAGAAAACCAGAGAGAGAGAGAGAGAGAGAGAGAGAGAGAGAGAGAGAGAGAGAGAGAGAGAGAGAGAGAGAGAGAGACGAGAACAAGAGAAAGAGAGAAAGAGAGGTGGTGAGAGAGGAAAGAAACAGATAAAAATAGGAGACGAAAAAAACTTTGAGAGAGACCGATAAACAAACAGATAAAGCAGAAAGGCTGAATTATACTCAGTGAACTGGATCTTCTTGTCTTTAAACACCATTTATATGTCCCTCTTAAAAAAAACACTTTTTCTAAACAACATGTTAGAGAATCGCAAGAATGTGCCGAAATAACCGGGGACACCTTAAACAGAACAGAACATGAGTTAATTGCAGAAAATAAGTGACTTCAGCGCATAAATCTAAGTTGTGGATCGAAGTTGGCGCGGGACACAACCCGAGTCGGTGCACGTGGCACGTCAAACGTTCTGTGGTATCCTGGGAATTGGCTCCACCAATCGTCAACGGCGGGAAGGCAAGCGTCATGGCGGCTTGGCCGGTATAGATGGAGTCGCGCTAGAACCAGCTGCAGACCATGGTTTGACAGTTTCAACATGGACGTTAGCAGAAGAATGGCAGCACACGTGCAAGTGGTTGCCGCAGCCATGTTGTTTCTGTTGCTATGGAAAGTTGCGGCTGTGGCGTCTGTCTCCATAATGCAATCATTCTCAAATACGGTAAGACTTTTAATTTTTTTTAAACTGTAGTTTAGTTGACTTGTAAGCTCTGTTTATAACAGGTCAGTGAATGTGTTTAACAGTTTCAAGATTCGGTTGGGAAGGATGGGGTGGAAGGGGGTGGGGAGGGTACCAGAATTATATTTCCACGGCGAACAACTATTATTTATTATTATTGTTTGCTCAAAAAGGGTTTTCTAGCAAGAACTACCGCCTAAATGTATAACTTGTTGCGGTCGCGAAGGATCTTTGAGCCTGATGTTTCAGGGCCGCATGGCTAGAGCTGTCGCCACGGACTGTGCAGGTTAAGATTCTGTTTTGCCCCCGACAGGAAACAATATTTAAAAATCCCAACCCTACCCAGAGTTTTCCGCACGAGATCACTGCGTACTAAACGGTTCGGCCAGTCTCTCCTCCAGGTTTTCTAAAAGTGACACGAAATTCCCACCCTGCTGGGGCCTCAGTACGTAATGTTCCCAAGGACAGCAGCCAATAAATGTAGCCAACCTTTATTGCGGAGGCGGCGTACAATGTTTGCGGACGCGGGTGTAAATTCTGCTTTTGTTGGTGTTTTTAGTTGTTGATCAGATTAAATCACCGCATCGCCTTCTGTCATTAATGATGGCGTTCCGGTAAACTGAACCTTCTCTTCTTTTTTGTTTTTTCTATTTCTCATTTCTTGCCCAAAGTGATAGTCGACGGGTAATGTGGTCAGCTGAAATCAACCGACTGACAACACAGAACATTGCCTGATACCCGTAGTTGAAGGTGGGGTACAGCTACCAACTACCCGCCATGTCAAATGATTCACATTTAGCACCACCGTGGCCATAAGGCAGACAAATGACTGGTCCAGTTAACTGAATAATAATAATAATGATGACAATAATAGTAACAATACTAATCATCAAGTAGCAGGTCCTTTGCAGAACGTCGCTCTCATCACAGTCTGTCTGTCTAAAAGAAACTCGGTCCCTCGCCAGTTCTCCCGCCTCGTGCACTTTCATATTCAATGGGTCATTTATGTCCTGTGTCCAGCTTCGTGCTGGTCAGCCCTCGGTCCTCTTGCCCGGTACAGTGCTTTCTACTGTTATTCTGTCCAGTCCACCATACGCCAGGGACAAAGACAAAGGTAACTGCACGCACAGGAGAGTTTTGCAATGACTCATTCCACTGACTGCATGCGGAGCCTGCCTAGATCTGCCAGATCATGTTTATGGAATCACTTAGCGCACACACGCAGGAACAGTCCTGTGAATCCAGCCACATGAAAGCTTGTACTACCACTACCACCACCTCCATCATCATGCTCCTGGTAGTCATGGCGAAGGCACCGATGGCTTTCTGGACTGTTATGCCCGCAGAGCCAGCTCTGAATGTCCATGCACTGGTCTGTGTAAATCAGCACATCTTCCTCATCAGAACCATCGCTGTGACAATCATAAAGTACCCCCAGCTTTTACATGCGTGTCTTATAACATAACACGACAGCCTTCTCTTGAATGTATACAGAATTTTCTACAGGAACTGGTTCAAATCTCAGATCCTTTTTTAACCATTCTTTTTTGTCTATAAGAGTTTCGCTGTTGAGAGTATGCGAGCCCATCTGTTATTGTAGTACTAGTAATTGGTAGCTTTCACACGTTACAATTTCTGCATGAGTGGCGTAAGAATTAAAGTGTGCGTAGTTTTCGCTGTGGTAAAACTCGGCAAGACGTCAACCGAGTGGTATTTTCTAATAAATATTAAACGTTTTAACAAACTGTAAAATTATGCATTTTTCTTTTGCAATGGAAAATGTAATCAACGGTTACATCCGTTACATGCACGCGTCACCACTGTCTCTTCTTCCCTGTCCTGTCGTTTGAAGAAGTCTTTCTGCCATGCGTGTAGTTGAAAAACTAACAGATTCGATCTCGCATGCGATAGTGTGTGAATTCGTCAACAAGGCCACACTGGGATCATACCCGTAACCAGAGTGCCGGAAATGGCGTGTAAACACGTGACTTGCCAGAGCTTAACCCGGGAGCCAATAGTCTTGCGTTTCCGTTTACTCGTCTCGGAATTTGATTGGATGAGTTTAATTAGTGTTGTAGATAAGGAAACTGGTACACCGGTATTCTTAGTACACGATGTTGTACCGTTTTTTTAAAATTTTTAATGAAGTCTGCTTTCTTACTTTCTTAGTGTCGTGAATGTCTTACCAACGGCGTCAGTTGGGAAATGAGTGTACTGTCCCTGTAACATCTTGTTTATATTTTTCAGCTCGTTCTTGAGTTCTTCGAGAACATACTTCCTAGATCCTAGACATTTCAACTTTTAACTGGCTTCCATAAGCACCATTTAATCTGTTATGTAGCGGACTAGGAATTCTACCGATCTGCATTATTTCAGTTTGCGTGTAAGTGTGTATGTTTGTGTGTGTATGGCTGTAGGTTGTTTTTCATGTGAAATCGTCTGCATGTTAAACTAAGCCATATCTCAAACACGCATAACTCGATGAAAATTTCGAACCCAGGATCACTCGACAGCCAGGTGAAAGCTCAACGGTGACAGCCAGGTACCAGATGGTATCTGCAAACACCTCGGTCGTATCTAGTTTGTCCACTTCATCGAATGCGGAAGCGAACTAGTTCCTTCAGCATGGAGAGCACACCTGTAGGGCCAAGAGTTTCGAGCTGATGGTGACGGTTATGTTCCACCGGTTCTGGTCTGGTCAGACTGTATGCTGACAAATAGCTCCCTTTGCTTTGTCCGTCCATGCTGGCAGATCAGTAAGGTTGGTTTATGCCATGATAAGCCAGGAAATGCGGTTGGAAGTCATAACATAAACAGCCTGTGGTATGCTGATAACAACGTCTTCATAGCGACAAGTCAAACAAAAGTACATAAATCGGTAGATAATTTGGAGGTAGAAACTAATAAAACAGGCCCGTGTGAAAAATTATAAGACATTATTAATAGTGATACCGAAGAAAATAATCGTTAATAAATGTTTAACAAAAGTCAAAGGCGTTATTTTAGAATAGGTACATAAATTTAAGTATATTGGTAAATGGATAACGAGAGAAAATATATCACATAGATAAAGTATAGAGTAGGACAGTTCAGTACTGCATTTTATAAATTGAAGAATATTTCAAGGAATAAATCCGTGTCTTTGGAGTTTGAGAAAAACAATGCTTTATACAGCCAGATTGAAGATACGGCTGTGAATGCTGGACAACTGATATAAACTGAGCAGTTTCTTTGGGCCTCGGTTTTACAGAGGAATCCTTTGAATTTCGTAGAGGGCCAAACCGAGCAAGCGAGATGTTCTAAAAGAAGCTAGGGCCTCGGAAACAACTTCTCACACACATCAGAAAGAGACAGCATCATTTGTGGTCACGTTGTGGGAAGAAGGAAACTGGAACATGTTGTGACCACCGAAAAGATCTGTGGAAAGAGAGACAGGGGAAGACCGCCCAAAAAGATTTTTGGCAGTCTGTTGTCACGACATGGAGGCGTGTCAGCACACGAACTGATACACGCAATCTGCCGATCGTAGATTGTGTAGAGGTATGATAGTGGCATAAAAGAAGCGAATGATTCCTAAATGTGAAATAAAAGTCAATGGTGTTATTTTAGGACAAGTACAGAAATTTAAGTATCTGGGCACATGGATAACATTAGATGGAAGATGCACAACTGAGATAGGAAACATAATAGGACAGGCAAAAACTGCATTTTATCAAGTGAAGAATATATATCCTTGTCATTGAGAGTTAAAAAAAGAATTATTGCTTGCTACATACATCCAGTTTTAACATATGGCTGTGAATCCTGGACAATCGGTAGGCAGGTTAAACAATTTCTTGAGGCCTCAGAGATGTGGTTTTGCAGAAGAATGCTTAGAATACCTTGGACAGCCAAAAAGAGCAACCAAGGGGTTTTGAAAAAGGCGGGAGCCCGAAGACAATTAATCACAGACATCAAAAGGAGACAGTCATCATTTTTCGGCCATGTTATGAGAAGGAAAATAGAACATGTTGTGACCACTGGAAAGATCTGTGTGAGTGTGTGTGTGTGGGGGGGGGGGGAGGGTAGAGAAAGACAACGACAGAAGATTCTTGACAGTCTTGTTGCATGGTATGGAGGTGTATCGGCACACGAACTGATACATGCAGCAGGAGATCGCTGATTGTGGCGTGGCATGATCGCCCACACAAGTCGGCAAGGCACCTGATGAGGATGATGATGATCGCCCACTCCAGTTGGCAAGTCACTTGATGATAATGACGTTAGGGCACATTTACCGATTGTCCTATCTCCGTGTCTTCTCCTACCCATGACCTGTTTGTTTTCCGAAACATACCGTGGCCTCGTTTTGCAACAACCTAAATATTGAAGCCAATCCCCAGGCGATGAAGATGTTAGGGCAAGTATAAACAATGTGCGGCCCATTCCTTCTCATCTGCTATAGTCCAGCGTCCTCTCATGACTGACCTAGCGATGCCCATGATGGCGTCTCCCCTGACCTCCCGGGAATTGCTTATCGGCAGCAGAGCCGAATGTCTGAATTTCGTGTACGTCCCGTGTGTGTGTTTGCTGGTGTCGTATTTGTCGGTGCTGCCGTCGTTTTTGTCGACTGTTTTATTTGTGAGAACATCCGTGTTTTATTCCCTGCAAGATGCCATGACCCATTGTTATTCTTTTAGTTATTCTCTTCTTTTCATTAGACATTGTCTGCAAGAACTTGGAGTCGGGGAGGGTGGGGGCACGAATTGAATGAGTGGAGCAAAGTCGTAAGACACTGAGACTGGTGTGTCTTCTTCCGACAACAATAGCAACGAATGAAAAACTAACAATAGCCGTTGATAGAAATGACACTCAAGCAATTACCTTAAGGCGATACTGTGTACACGTGTGCATTATTAAAACAAGTATAGCCAAGTCTTACTGCCAGAAGATTCATTCTTTTTGCTCCGGTCGTGTAAAAACTAGGTATGGGGATTCGAGTT